AACATTAAGTATTCTAGGGAAAGTATATTGTATAGTTTATTCAGGCAGCCTGATTATTCATTAAAGATACTATGATTTTCTTTATGGTACATTAGTTTTTAGTGGTTTTTTGGTTGGCTGTCTTTATTTTCTGGTTTGTTTTCTTTTGGGTTTTTTTTTTTCAATTCAAGAAAACTTATTATAATGCCCCCAGAAAATTACTTATTCTGTAAAAGATAAGAAAAACATGTAAGATTATATAGAATTTCAAATTATAAGGGAATAATCTTGGTGCTTTTTTATTTCTTTCTTGGGGTGATGAATACATTTGGGAAGTAGAAGCAAGAAGAATATATGGCTTCTTTTTCTCGCTTTGCCTCCCTCTTTCTATTGAAAGAGCTTGTGAGTTTGTGTCCTCCCCTCTAAACAGCTGCACAGGGGTATCACATTAAATCTCTTGGTTCATCTGTGGATTTCAGTGTGAAAGACTTTCTATGTGGATTTGGGTAGTGTCCCTTGATGCAGGAGAGAGACATACATCTTTATGTACATCTACATATGCATCTACATGATAGAAAACATACTACACCTTAAGAAAGCTGATGGCTGGCCTAGAGAGAGTCTTCATACAGCTATTTGAACAACAGTGCAATAACAGCCTTTGAGAGGAGCTCCTGGAAAAAATCTCTCAAAAAAATCTCTCCCCTGTGTGGTGAGCACTGAGGTGCTTCAGTGAAACAATGAGATTCTACAGAGGTTTGGTCTTTAAAGGTCTTTAAAGTGCTGGTTTTTCTGAGTCTTTTTCATTGACTGCATGGATTTTTAATGATACTGAAAGAGCAAGACTTAGAAGGCATATCTGAATGTGACTGAAGATGATGTTTCTACTTAAAAGACTCAGAGCTTCATACACAGAACTTCAGAGCTCATTCAAACTCTTCAAAGTACTGTGCATTTTACATTTTTTCTTTTTCCAATTAGGAGAAGAAAGGAATTACCGGTGAGCTGTGTGCCATGTTAGTATTTGTTGTTATTTTTCCTGTATTTCCTAATTTGTTAGTAATTAGGATTATGGAGATGTAGGCAGACCAGAGCAATTTCTGATCTGTGCTGCTTTGTGTTGATCCTTTACTGCTCATTTCCCAGCAGCCACAGTACAAAAGCTGACTGAGCCAGGGCTGGAAATGGAAATGTCAGAAGACATTCTCTGTGCTTCTGGAAGATGTTTTAGTCAGAGCAGCTCAGCACTGACAGGTCCAGCCACTTTGCATCTCTCCAGTGTCAGGAAGGAGACAAGACAGTAAACCACACAAATCCAGAACTGAGACTTCTGCATTTTGGCTCCATCCTTTCTGTTGGCTGACAAAAACTCTGTGATTTCTCATTCCATCTATAGGCATTCAGGGATGAATGTCTGGAACTTCATGCTAAATGGACTGGCAACCCCTTATTTTAAGGAAGATGCACAAAACTGAATTGTTTCTTCCTTCCTGCAAGCCCTTGCTTGCCCTGTTGGCAGGGCACAGAGGAAAGCTAGTCATGCTCTTGCTGCTGCCTTTCTACTTGGTGGAGAGCAGAACTTCAGAATTTATCAGTTTGTGGACAAAAAAAATACTGTCTAACGGAGTGGCCTCTAAACTATTCAAGTTTTGTAATCAAATCAACTGGCTGGTCTTGAAATCTTGGATGTAGAGTTTAGGGAGGTATTATGTAGCTCCTTTGGGATCACTGAATTAACAATTAAAATACATTTCTGACACCTCTTCTATGAGGAAAGGCTGAGAGAATTGGGACTGTTCAGCCTGGAGAACAGAGGGCCCCAGGAGACCTTCTACAGCCTTCCAGTACCTAAAGGGGCCTATAAGAAAGGTGGAGAGGGACTTTTTATAAGGGCATGGAATGATAGGATAAGGGATTTTATCTTTAAATTGAAAGAGAGTCAATTCATATTAGAAATTGGGATTTTTTTTTTTTTCCAGAGAAGGTGGTCAGGCTACCCAGAGAAATAGTGTCTACCCCATCCCTGGAAGTGTTCAAGGCCAGGTTGGATGGGGCATTGAGCAGCCTGATCTAGTAGAAGGTGTCTGTGCCCATGGCAGGCTGGCTGGAAGGAGATGATCTTTTAGGTCTTTTCCAACCCAAATCGTTCTATGATTCTAATTTATTTTAAAATATATATACTAAAAAAAACCCAAACAACCCAACCATATAATTTCTTTTATAAGCATTTTCCAGGCAAAAAATCTCTATGCACATAGCTGTTGTTATTTTTGCTAAGCCACATAATTTAATATTTCATTCTTAGTTAATATGTTAGAAAAATATTTACTTGGAGACATGATCTGTGATGACTAATGGGATCAAACTAATTCAGACAAAAGCTGAATAAATAAGTAAATTTTAAATTGTTTGGGTTTTGACTTGCATTGGGGATTTTGTTTGAGTATTTTTTTTAGAAAGGTAGAATATCATGTGTGAAATCAAGAGCAGATAGAAATTAGGGTAAAGCAGACATGAATGTGACCTGAGCTGACCCTTCTGGCTAGCACTAGTCTCACTACCTAGCAGCCTGAAGAATGATGCAGTGGATCACATCCTTACTGTTTTGAGTACTCCTTTGTAGCCAATTAAATGAGAGATCATTGTCAGTGTCAGGACTTTGGATCCCTGGTGTTTCATCAGTAACTGTTTTAACAACTACTCAAAAGCTGGTCAAGTATAAAACTGTATAAAAAAAGTAAGTCTCCTTCATGAAGGATTTTGGTTATTTGTTTTGACTGAAATTGAAAATGAAAGAATAGCAACATTTTTATCCACTAAGATGTCAGCCCTGATCTCTTGGCTGTTACGTCTGAGGAAAAAAGCCAAAGGTCACCTTTCCTGAGCAATCTGTTCAGATCTGCAGATCCTGGAGGGGGTCAGAACTACCAGCCTGCCACAGCCTGAAGAGGTGATTTTTTTTTTTTCCTTGGTAGCTCAAGGCAGTCTCCTAGAGGTTGTGTCTTAAGGTCAGATGGAAAACTGGCCTCTCCAGCAGCAGCATGATGAGCCATTAAGGAACCATCTAAAGAATCAGCCTTGGACTGGATGGTGGCCCAGGGCATTCACTCCTGGCTCCTCAGCAAACCTGCCACCAAGCATTTTAATTCCAACCAATCAGCAGATTAGAATGAGAAGTGGCTTTTATTATAGTATTTTGAGTTAATCCTAGCAACAAGCTTTTGGTCTGGAAGTCATAAATGTTGAGGTTTCTTTTTCTTTGCTGACTAAAAAGAAAGCTTCATACTTTTCCCTTGAAAACATTAAGGAAAATTCCTGCTTTAAAATGAGATGGGCCTAAAGTGTGTGTGCAGACTGTGGGGACATCTGCTGGGATGCTGGGAAATGACAGACTGCAAAATGCATACGGTGGTGGAAAGATTCAGGCATGAACATGCCAAAAATTATTAATACTGCAGCATTTCCTCAGGGATGACAATACCACATTTTATCCACAAAGGAAATCAAGTGCCCCTATCTCAGTATTTCTGTGCTGATCACTCTAGGAGAACACTCAAGACCTGCATAAGCCTATCCAGTTAAAAAAATGTGTAGAAAAGAAAGCTCTATAAAAATGCCCTGTAATCATGGGTGGGCCAAAAGACGCTGCTGGCATGCTGTGGGGCAGAGCAGCTCAGTCAGCCCTGACCACAGGACAGCTTCCTGTGGCACCCTTGGGATGGAAGCTCTTTCCTTGCCGATGGAAATGAGAAACAGCCACTGGTGGTAGCTGAGCCAGGATCAGCAGAGGAGCTTCAGTGACGGGACTGGCACGGCCACATGCTGCCACACTGCAGAACTGTGGTCTGAAATGAAGCATCAGCTTTCCTGGTTTTGTTGTAAAAACTAATCGTGGCTTATGTCTGATGGTGCATGCAGACCTAAATTGAGCCCAAATTTTCAAATTTGTGAACTTTGATGGAATCATGGAAAGAATTCTGTTCCAGTACTAAATTGTACCGTTAATAATCTTGCTAAGATTAAAGAAACTTTCATTTTATCAGTTGTAAAAGGTGTGGCTGGGGAGACGATACATATCTGTTGTGGCTATTTGGTCAAAATTACATTCAGTATTCAATTTTCTTCATGTACGTCCCTATACGTCTGTTTAATCTGCGTATTTCTGTCTGAAACGGTAAGATGTTTGAAGGGCTGGAACCATCCTCTAGACTTGTGTTTGAGAAGTGCCTTTGCAGTGATATTTTCTGCAGGCATGAGACTAAAGTGGGGGGCAGAAGTGTGCTCATTTTAAACTTTCCTGCTGAAGTGTTCAGATGTCTTTGTACAGACAAAGCTCTGCATATTTAGACAACTAACAGAATTTTGACAAACTCTGTCCCATGCTCGCCCTGCACTCCATGTTACACTGAGCTCAAACCCACTGTGCAGCCCAAGTCAATGTCAGTGATACTCTGTGGCCCTTTCTCCTGCATCTATCATATTCCATTTGGAAACCTTGTTGGGCAGCAGTCGGTGGAAATTGCCAGTAGAGATCAGGGCAAAAGTTTTTTCACAGCTGAGTCAATTTTGTTAATGCAGAAACAGTACATCAGACATCTGGTTAGAATTATTTTTATTCCATCCTTAATAATGAATGACTTAAAGATGAAAAATGTGAAGAAAAGTCTAAATACTCACACAGAGCAAAACTGAAAAAGCTAGGAGGAACTATTTTTATTTTGCTTAGTTACAAATCTCATATAATTGCTCAAATAGATGTTAATACCATGGTCTCCTACAGCTATTTTAGATTTAAAGTACAATTGCTGAATTTATTGACTGCTTAGATAAATAGATTAGTCCTAAATTATCCTAAGCATTTAGCTGTACACAGTGTAACTTTGGCTGATACAATAGGTGCAGTAGTAGAAATGAAAATAGGATTCGTTAAACCAGATACTTTGTATACTGATACTTTGATTATCCCAGGATATTAGGTTCCATTAAACTTAAATATATTTCTCTTGTTGTTCTGTACTCAGGGGCGTGCCTCATTAACACATGAGAAACAGCGTTTTGCCCACGAACATGGTGAAATGAAAAATCTAGAAGATATTGTTAAAGATATAAAACCGACTGTGCTAATAGGTAATTTCTTTGACTTTAAAGCAATGACCTTTTTCTTTGTTGGAAAAAAAAAATGGGGATATGGCTTTGTCTGAAGAGAAGATCAAGTTCCTCTGAACAGAGTTTACCTTTGTGTGTTTTCAGAAAATACTGGGTGCATAATGGACTCTATTAAGCGATTGAACAAATAGTAACTATACAAGCATGTAACACTGCTTTCATTCTGAGCCATCCATTTTACAGGGGAAGAATCTGACTGGGTTTAAACATCTGATGGAGGACCTTACCACCTTCCTAAATTACTGTTGGTATAATTTGGAAGGTGTAATACAAACAACCTCAAACTCAGAGTGAGAAAACCAAGCTAAGTTCATGTAGAGCTATGCAAATATGAGGGTGTTGTATCTGAGTCTTCTTTTTGCTCACATTTAGGTCCTTAGCCAGCAATCCTCTATGCAGAACAAATGCAGATTTTACAAGGGCTTTTTCTTTTGTAAAAGCTGAAGGGCTGTGATCTCAGTAATGGATTTCTTAGCTCTCTATAGATTGGCTGTTGTAGTTCAGTGACAGTTTCAGGAATGAACAACAAGTAAGACTTGAAGATTAATCTGTCTGGCCAGTAAAGTCATTCATCAGGTGCTAGAAAACTGAACTATAATTTAAGTGATAATTATCTTACATTTTAACAGCTACCTTTTTCACTGTGCCTACACCATTTTCCTTGTTCAGTAAAATCTGCTTTTGCCAGTGGTCATCAGTGAGGTAAATGAAGTGTTTCTTTTCCTGTACTACAAGAAGATATGATTGGAAGAGGAGACCAAGTGATCCAGAGAATTTACTTAGTATACTACAAGGCTGAAAAAGCTAGAGGGACAGAAGAGTAGAATGAATGTTTATCCAGATAAATGTGTGGGTGCTTAGGGAAGATTTTCTGTTATGAAATACGGGGTTTACTGTGTATCAGTTTTTATGTATAAACCTATGTAACTCTCCCTCAAGGTCATTTTTTCTTATCAGTTCTGTATAATGAAGTTTCTTCCATCAGAAACAGTAATAGAAACTAATATAGGGGATTTTTTGTTTGCATAGTTAGACATTCAGTATGTTCCCCAGAGTACCAGGAGTCATGGGGGGAAATATGTTGGTAGTCCTCCTCCCACTGTTTTACTTAGCTCTGTCTGAGCAAATTCTTATACACATTTCATTGCCTGCAACGGCTCAAGGAAGAGCCTTAATTTAGATAAAACTGCAGCATAAAAAACTGTAATTAAAAAAAAAAAATAGCCGTAAGCGCAAAACAAATTTTACTTTAAATCTAAAGATAGTTGTCATTCTTACTGTTGGCTGTCCAGAGGCTGTTTTAGAAGACATTCAACACTTGGCAACTGAAGATTTAAATGGAAACTGAGGTGTGTAACAGGCTCTTATACACCTGTTCATCAAACACAGAGTGGTTCAGCTGGTCTATCAGAGCTTTTGCATCTAAGCATCCTTGCCTATTTATAGAAGGGGAAGTAGTGAGAGCTCAGAGTTGCAAAAAATAGTAGCATGTGACAGGTGATATCATGTTCCATGTGGAATCAGACAGAAAATACTCTGAGATGCCTTAAAGAAATGTTAGTCCTGAAGCACAACCTTTGAGCCAACTCTGGGTGGTGAGGGCTGCTTTCACCTTCCCCTAAGGACCTTGTGTGATCAGGCAGATCCCAAGCTGTCCTTTTAGACTGGGCACTGTCAGGATGCTCGTTTGAGCATCAGTGACAAGATGTTATAGTACTGACCTGAGAAGGGCCCAAGTTCCAGGCTCTCCTCTCCCTGCCTGGCTTTTAATCCATTTCCACTCCCCAAGAGAGGGAAAACAAACTCTTTTTCCTGCTTTTGAAACTCAGATGCTGTGTGGAAAGCAGAATGGGGTGTCAGGCACTGGGGTCTCTGTGGACAAAGGAGGCTGCCTTCTCTCCAAGCTAGGGAAGATGGGCCTCTGGTAGAATAAAGATCCTTAGTTTTACTCCAAGATCTGTTTATCTGTTTATTTTCACTGAAGGTGTGGATATCCTTCAATTCCCAGCTCTTGTAGATTATTCAGACGTACGGGTGTACTTGGCATCTCAAAAATATCAAACACCCCTCTTCAGTCATGAATTGTCTGAAGTCCAAGATCTAAGTACTGGCTGCAAGTCCACAGTGCAGCAGAATGCAACCTAAGTCAGATGATTTCATCCTTCAACAGTGGCATTCAGTTCTTATGAGTGAATATTTATATCCTATAAATATCCATTTATAAGTGTGGACAGTATAGGGAATAGAAAAGCATCTCTGGTGCAGTGAAGAAGGATATATTAAAAATTGTTGCTATTAAGGAAGGCCTAGACTCAAAATTACTATTTGTCAGCTCAGATGTAGAAGGCAGAGACTTTACTCATCATGTCATAAAAAATTGAAATCTGACACATTGGATTTGGGAAAAACTATCCAGTCTGTAGCACAAAACTTCAGGATCTGGAGCTAGTCCATACTGGACCTAGCTGCAGGTTAGGTAATAACATTTTTATCTTACACAAAGGGCCTGAGAAAAGGGAAGGGAGAAATTCACCAGATTGTACAGGAGTGAATAGATTTTGCCTTATGCTAGGGATAATACTGAAGTTTCACTATTGCAAAATCTTTTATACAAAACTTTATTTCAACTATGTATTAGTAAAAAGGTTGAACTCCATTTTAAAGAGGGAGAGAGACAGAAAAAGGAGCTCTGTTCTTTTACAAGTGACATGTGTCTTACCTTGAACTGATTTAATTTGTCTACTTGTTATGTGTATTTTTTTTTCAGGAGTTGCTGCAGTTGGTGGTGCTTTTACTACACAGATTCTTCAGGATATGGCTGCTCTAAATAAACATCCTATAATTTTTGCTCTCAGCAATCCCACCAGCAAAGCAGAATGTACTGCTGAGCAGTGCTACAAATACACAGAGGTAACCAAAGAGTAACATTTTTCCGTATAAGTCATGAAAAGTAAATCTGAAATTAAATTTTAAAAGGGAGGAGGACAGAGGGTGGAGTAGCAGGCACTAATCATGTCTCTGTACATAGATAAAATTACTTAAGTAACCAATTTTTCAGATTTTGTCAAGACAATTTCACTGAATTTGCTGCATGCTTGCGCTCTCATAAAAACATTTCATAGCTTTCATTGGTGTAGGCAACACTCATAGTATTAAAACGAAAGCATCAGTCACCATCAATCATTAAAGCATTGTCTTTTTCTGAACTATACCATTTTGTGTAATATATACACACAGAGGCATGCTTTTCATATGAGATTTCATACTCTTTAGGGTAAGAAAATATTTCAATACATGAAACAGAATCTTTAAAATCATTCTGTATTAAGAACTGGGGTAATTGACTCTTCTTACAAAGCTTTCTTTACATAAACGTAGGTAAAAATTAAGAGAACTGTGCTTGCTTATTTATTATAGAAGTACTGATAAACACATTATCCTGTAATTCAGCCAGAATTTAAAATCTATTTATACCTGACTGTACGTGTTCCATAGTGGATGTATTTGGATTTCTTGTCAAATACAGGGCATTTTGAATGACAATTTCTCTTTAGTGTTTAAAAGACAAATTTAGCATGTCCATTCTCCACAGCACAGATGTAATTACAGCACAGTGCAGGAGCCAGGGAAGCAACCTACATGAAGGGTTGGTTGTAGTGGGTAACCACATGCATTAAACAGAGCAAAAGACACTCTGAAGTATTTGATCTTTCACCAAAACATATAATAAGCAGGCCAGAATTACAGTGCATTACACCAAACAAAACAGAATATTCTTCTGAAGAGCTGAATAGCAACAGTGGCCTATTTTAAAATGCACTATAGTGCATTTCAGTTTCCAGTTCTCTAAAACAGGCAGAGATATTCTGATCCAAAGTGCCTCTGAAGTATTTAACAGTGATATTTATCACTTTAGCAGTGCTTGCATAAATAAAGGCTGGCTTTTCTTCCCCACCTAAATTTGCTGCTTAAATTCAAGGGTGCTCCGTCCCCAGAGAGGCAGGAGCCAGGGGCCTTTGGGCTGTAGACACTGAGCTTGTGCAGTGCCAATCCTACTACAACCTAAACTGAGTGAGAGGCAGATCTCTTGTCCTCAAGACAAGTGTTACAGTATAACTTGTACCCATGTAGCTAAATCCCTTAATTCCCCCAAAAGGCTAGCTTTTCCCTGCTGCCGACCTGCACCAGTCTGGGCCTGATATCTGGGCCCTGCCAGCCACAGCTGTACCTGGCATTACCCAAAAATATGCTGGGAAACATTCTGATGTTTTATCAGGCAGTTGTTGGTGCCCTCACCCTACTCGTTGTGTTACAAAGGGGACCCCTAAGGTCCTGGTGGAGGAGGTTCCACTCTGACTTGTGCTGCTGCCCTATGGGACAATGTTCCTGGGACAGAGCTTGCACCTCTGTCATTCTGTTGAGCTGTGGAGTGGGCTCAAGGGCCTGAAGTGGGGGACTGGGGAGAAAAGAGTTCTGCCTGCCCATAGCTCCTCAGAAATCACCCCATCCAAAAGTGCAACATTTAGTTGCCTTAGTGTTGTTTTTTGGGGTGTTTTGCTATTGGGAAAAAAGTCCAGTGTAGCATCACCTGTTGCTACCATAGCAGTATTGCCCACTTTGGGTTTTACAACTCTGTACTTCCCATGGAGCTTCTTCTGACATGGATGCACAAAGTGAGTAATGACTGCTGCCTTCAGTTTCCCTCCTTCTACAAAAGGGTTAGACAGCCACAGAGAATCACCAGTGATCTCCAGCACTCTGTGTTCTTGAGACATATTCAGGAAAATAGCTCTAACACCCTCTCAGAAGAGATGCTAAATAGCTGCAACCCAGCTTCCACAGTTGTGGATATTTAAAAGGATGTGAGAAATATTTCAACAGAAATCTCTCAATTAATGTGCTTTCTTCTTCTTCTTACAATTTAGGGACGTGGGATTTTTGCTAGTGGAAGTCCTTTTGATCCTGTCACTCTTCCAAGTGGACAAACTCTCTATCCTGGCCAGGGTAACAATTCCTATGTGTTCCCAGGAGTTGCCCTTGGTGTTATTTCATGTGGAATGAGACATATTGATGAGGATGTATTCCTCACTACTGCTGAGGTACTGTATTCAAAATTATTTACATTTAGTGACTTAGTATTAATGAGCAATTAAGCAGGAAGAGCTAAACTTTAAAACAGGAAAAATACTGCTTTCTGTGTAAGGCCTTTATTTGCAGTGTATTGTTCTTTATAAATTGTATTTGAACAAGTAATTTTAAAAGAGTTAATAATTGGCCTAGGGTCACCTGACTTAAACTTTACCTTCTGTTGGGAAGGAAAAAAAGAAAGATTTCAGTACTGTGTTACCACAGGTAAATACACATGTGTACAGTTTGCATGCACAGGCACAAAGGTTTGATTTTAGATTGAAGGGAATTAGTATTACTGCTGTTAGTAGCTTTGGGGTGACTCGTGTGTGTGTTTTGCTTACAAAAAGTGTTGGAATTGGACTTAGAAAGCCCTGGGTAATGCATGTTGGTCTGGCCATGTCCATGCAAAGTAATTGAAAGCCTGATATTCTGGGGGTTTTTAAAGGGTATGGAAATAAGGAAGAAGGCTGTCCTCAGTTTACCACATTAACTCCAACTGACCCAGGCTCACTTCAGGGGGAATTTCTGCCCAGTCCAGTTCATACCAGTTACAATCCACAGCACTTCATCAAAGTGCAGTGTGTACATTGGTAATGTAGGTAGTGCACCAAGGAGGCTACCAAGCAATAAATTGGAACATTAGAAGTTTGGAACAATAAAAAAAGGGGAAGAAAAGCTGCACCAATTAGCAGATGTGTGAATGCACTATTCAGCTCCTGCAGCTTCTCTAAGGAATATTTCACTCCAGATTCTTGCTCCTTCTGTGCTCTTCATGGTTTAAAGGGAAGAAAGTGGTCCTTGGCTATCACTCAAGGACAGCTAATAGGCAGTGTGGTCCTATGACAGGCAGTATGTCACACAAAACTTTCTTAAGGGGTAGGCACTTGCATGCTGTCCTTGTTTGACTTTCACAGGTTTTTGAAGGTGCATGCTGTGGCATGTCTAAAGAGGTTTGCTAACAACCTGCCCTCTGTAAGAAAGACATTCACAATTTCCATCTTTAAAATTAGTAAAAAGTCCAGCCTGTCTCCACTGGCTTTAACCATCATAAAAGGGCAATGATCCATCTCTTAAGCCTTTGGATAATTATATCTTCCCTTTAAATCCTCCCCTGTAATTTCAGTTGGATACAGTGATACTCACTTCGTGGTCTAAGCTGCTGTGTTAGAGTTGCCTTACTTCATTGTAGAAGTTGCTTCATTTTGGTTTGTGTGAAATGGTTCCTATATAGCGAGAGCTGATGACAAAAGGTGGCACATGTGTGGATTGAACTGTGTTTCATGTGACAATCTATGAAGTCAGAAAAAAAATCAGCTCTGAACAAAGACATGGAACAGTCAGGGAAGTGAAATATTTTCAGAAATTGTGAGGACGCATTTAAATTCCCACTTGAGGTAGAGGTTCTTCCCTGACTCTTTGGTACAGGTTTTGCTGTACAGTTCCCTTCCCTTAGTAAAATCTCTAGAAAAGTTTGACATATAAAAATGTGGGTTTTGTCTTGCATAGAAGGTTCTGTTGGTGGCAGGATCCCTGTGTATCTGCTCCCCTTACTGCTCCCAGCTCAGGCCTTTCATATCTGGTCTCCTTACATGTGAGGGGCTGTAAGGCTTGGGTGAGCTGAGCTGATGGGTGCCAGAGGAGTCTGCCAGAAGAGGTGTCAGGGGTGTGAAGGCTGGCAGGGCTGTGTAGGCCCTTAGCTGAATAATTGCACTGCAAAGCAAAAGCAAAAGTGTTCTTTTTATTTCATTTTCTTGGCTTTTTTAATGGAAGGATAAAATCAGAATAGTTTCATGGGGGTTTTAGAATAGTGCTTAGTATTCTTCATTTGAAATGGAAGCATACAAGATGCTGCAAAATTTAGAGAACCAAACCCATGCATTTTGAGTAGAGGGACCTTCTTAGATTGCCAAGGTAGCTTACCTGAAAAAAAAGAAATTAAAAAAAGTAAGCAACCCAAACTGCATGCTTGCACCTCCTCCTCCTCCTCCTTGCTTTGTGACCTCTCCAATTAAATCTGATTGAAGTCACAAGTAAGTAGTAGTTATAACTAGAACAGATTTTTCATTCAATGTTGTTTTCTTCCTGACAAGTAAAATAGAGTGTAATTTTGATTTTGGATGATAAATCTAAGGTACTTAAGCTGTAATACCTCTTAACTGTGGGCTGTTGTTCTGTGATGATAAGGGATGTCCTATTCTTTTAACTCCTACCAAACACAACAAAAGAGGCAGAGAATTATGAACTAATGAAATATTCTTGCATGTTTGATCCCAAGTTTAATTCAGAAATAATCCCACAAAATCTTTTTATTATGGAGAATATGTCCTCCAAAAACCAAGATGCCCCCACTTGCTTTATGCCATTTTGTCTTGGTTGCCTTTCATTTAGGTTCTGCAATAATGCTTCGCTAATTTTTCTATTAAAAACTTGAATTAATTAATATTTAAAACATGAAAAGAACCATACTGGGTTGCAGCTGGGGTCTATACAGCTTGGTATCTTCCTGTGAAAGCAATCAGTAACAGAAGTAAAGGGAAAGAGGATAAATAAGAGAAATACAGAGTGATCCATCTGCTGAAGTGGCTTCTCAGATTCTGGCAACATTTACTCTATGGCCTTCCTGTGCTGGATGATTTATCTCTGTATGGATTTTTTTCTTCATAAATGAGCCTAGTGGCTTTTTAAACATGTTTATACATTTGAACATCTTTTGGCAGTTAGTGTCACAATTTAATTATGAGTGCTGTGGAAAAAGAAACTCACAATTTTCTGCTGTTTGATGATTTGGTTTCCCTACAGTGCCATAAGAAATGTTCACCTTCAGTTGTCTTTTGCATTTCCTTTCAGTCTTCTCTTTGTCTCCTTGATCAAAAAATAATTTTTGATCATTTTTCTCTATACCCACTTCATGATTCTACCCCATACTTGTTTGAAGTATGTGGAGAAAAACCACACCCTGCTCAAAATGGTGTTACATTCTGGATTTATACATTGGTACAATGTTTTCTGTGACACCTCTTATTTTCTCAGTAATCCCAAAAGTTGATTCCTCATTTTTTCCCCTGCCACTGATCTGATGTTCTCAAGGAGTGTTTTTGAAGCACCACATGAAGAGGGTGTCATTCTCTTTGGAAATGCTAGAGTTTGTGTTTTTGCATAGTTTTCAATGCTGTTACAGGAGTATGTCTGCAGGAACAGCATGGCATCTATACAGTTGATCTTGCTACCTCTCCCACTATCAGCACTGCCCAAATATTTTGTGGCTTGTCCTCTATTGAAAAACACAATCACAAAAGAGAAGTACTCCACTCCTGAACCTTTAATTTTCAGTGATGTAGTAAGAGCAACTTGCTGTTTATTTCTTCAGCTTTCATCTTTCCTGCAGAGCTCTCTTAAGCTGTTAACATCAGGGACCTCATGTTGTAAGCATCTCCTTAGGTTCAGGTGCATATCAAAGGGCTGTGTGTCATTTTGAAATAACCTGGTTATGGAGAGCAGTAACTTGATTTCATATTCTCTTAGCTCCCCCTAGAGGGGTTTTCTCTGCTGTATTTATCAAGATCAGGTTTAAAGGCAAACAAATACTTTTTCTTCATCTGTTATACTTGAGAACTGTTGCTCTTGTCAGTATTTTAACTCCAAATGGAAAAGCTTAGGACAACTACCAACATTCTGGATAGACTGCACAAGAGAACATTGAGCTCTTTTGCACCTGGAGTTACTTAAGTTCAAATTATTTACCTACTTCTGCTGGAAGGGATGCATCCAGACACCTGTTCTGATGCAGTCCTAGATGTTGACAAGCGTATGTGCAGGGTCCTGTTACCCACATGCCGCAGAAACTGTGGAAGGTTTTTTTGTGATTTGTTGAAAGTATTTTCCTAGCATATTCATTTAAAAGTACACTTCTTGTTTTCTCTTTGGGCTTTTTTACCAGTTGCAAGTCTCAGTGTTTTCTGGACTTGCCTGGTGTTTTCAGAACCTCTTGGTGTGTCATACATGGCTTCATCAGATGTTATGCAGAGGAGAGTTTTCCTTCTGTCCACGTCTGGGTCACCCTGAAAGGCTAATTCAAGTCCCCAAAGACAAAGAAATTGTAGCTAATGATAGCAGAAATACCAACTGCCAGTAATTTCATTCAGAGCATTTTACACTTAAGGGTTTCTGTTCTGTTCCCTACACAAGTTAATGTGACAACTGTCAGAATGACAGGTGCTTCTTTATATTTTAGAAGTCTTTGACCCAGCTGCAGTTGTTATCTGGAATTTATATCTCACAATGAACTGTTTGCTAGTTTATGTGTGTCATGGACTTATTTAATTAACTTTTATTGTCTGAATGAGAAAAAGGTGTAACTCCCTACATTTCTAATTCTTGTGTAGCTTCTCCTGATGACAAAGGTGGTTCTAAAAAATGCTGTCTAGGTGGATTAAGCAGTATCTGTGTGATTTGCCAAACATTTCTTTGCTAAAGACAATATCACTGTCTAATCAAGCTACAGCTGCATCTGCATGTCAAGTTAAACATGCTTGTGTTATTTCAGGTTATAGCGCAGCAAGTTACAGAAGAGAATTTGCAGGAAGGTCGCCTCTACCCTCCATTAGTCACCATTCAGGACGTGTCACTGAAAATCGCTGTGAGGGTAAGTCATTTCAGCCTTTTGTGGCTTTTTGTCTTCCCACCAACTCTACATGGTTTGATTTTACACTTAACACACCTTCACACAAGCTGGTTTATGTCAATCGATATTTGACACGTAGCAGTTTCAAAATTAAATATTAAATTCATAAATGTAATCCAAATACAAGGAGAGCTGTGGAACTGTAGCAAGTGTGTATGTCTGTAGAGCAGAGGTTCTGCTGTCTACCACAGTCATGCCAGCTGCACAGCTGAAGGGCTTTTGGCCCTTCATGGTTATCAGTTTCAACTTTTTGCTTGTCTTCTGTGACCTTTTTTATCTACAATTACTGTTTTCTCTCTTTGTCACTTTACTGTGAGTAATTCTGCTCCATATGCTTTTGAAAGAATAACAAGGAGCCCTCATACTTAAAACAGTTTCTATAGCTTCATTCATTCTGTATGTTTAAGAAAAGAAAAATCCTTCTCAAAGTTCATGTCTTCTTAGGCAAGTAGTAACTCTGTTCTGTACATGTGAAAATGTTACTTAAATTCCTCAGGTGAAATCAAACTGGCTTTGTGTTTGGCAGAAACACAGGGATATAAATTCCTCTTCTATTTGTGCATGATGTAGAAAATACAAAAGAAGGAAAATGTTACCAAGTGATTCTTTCTGCCTGTTCTCTGTTGAAACTTTATTCCTGCAAATACTTTTTCTGGCTCATACAACCCAACCCAAGAGGTTTAGCAATGGCCTCTGCCTTTTCCAGGAGAAGAACACTATCAAAATATTTTGGAATACCAAGCATTGGGTATGAATTCAGACCTTACCTAACCACAATAATTATGTGCACAGACCTGAACATATCCTTACATAAACACCCAAAGTGTTTCTCAATCAAACTGAGTTGGGATTCAGATTAATCCTAGAAAAGAAGTTTTAATAAGGTGACTTGAGATCTCAGCTTCTCACCAAACTAGAACATTTATGTTTTATAGAGAGATAAGGAAAGCAGGAAGAAGAGTGTCTTCCTTTTATTCAAAGGAGGAGGATTAGAGTGTTTGCCAATTAGTTTCAAGCAGATTTCACAGTGCTGATGCATAAAACCTGTCTGCCAGACTTCCTTTGTTTCACAGATGAATGTCCAGTCTGAAGACATTTGTTTCTCAAGTAGGTGATCTTCAGATGTCAGAGGCTACTTTGATGTGTTGAGAGAGCTCCAACCCCTTCTAAACTTAACTTTGGTTGCAGCTGTATTTGTGATGCATAATTGATTCAGTTAGGTATGGTCTGGGTGAGGAAAGAGCAAGCAAATATTTGTATTTCCCCCAGCTATCCTGTGCACTGTGTAGGACTATTGTTTTCCCATCAGTTTGCTGTTTTTGAAGTATATTATCAAGCTATGGCAAATACTAAACTTCTCTAATATGCAAGGAGCATGGAAGCTTTGAAGAAATCACACTTTTCTTACAGTGCTTTGGGGAGATGGTAAACCAGGATAAAGTGATGGAAGAAAAGCAGTAGTAGTATCTCAGTGCTTGGGGCTTGTGGAATATTTTATCCACCACTGCACAGTAAAAGCTAAGACACTACTGTGCAAAGAGGAGCACTGTATTTGTAACAGTCTGAACATGTAATCCTGTTCAAAAGTAGCCCAAATCAGACCCACTTAAACACAAACATCATCCTGTCATAGTCTTATGCACGGGGTACTAACCTGGATCTAGTGCGAACACAGGTGAGTGCCAGCACCAGAGAGGGTGAAGTCTTACCTTGATTTTGAACTAAGTCCTACTTTTAAATCCTGTTAAGTGTACTCAGATAGTTCATCAGCACTAATTAGGATTTTAATGCATCTTTCCAGATCGCAGAAGAAGCCTACAGGAATAACACTGCCTCCATCTATCCTCAGCCCAAGGACCTCGAAGCCTTCATCCGCTCTCAGGTGTACAGTACTGATTACAACAGCTTTGTGGCTGACTCCTACACCTGGCCCGAGGAGGCCATGAAAGTGAAACTGTAAATATTTAATGAAGAATGAACAAACCAGCTGCAGTTAAAAAGCATTAAAATATTAAGGTTGTTTCTGCCTAGAAAGCCTAAGAATAGCTAATTTTTTAAGATGCAGAAAACTTTTTCTAATTCATAGTAGTTGGTTAGAAACTCACATCAAGAAATCGACAACTATACATCAGAAAATAAAAATTAATCTGAGAAGTATATTTGTGTTTGGCTATTTTGATTGTTATTTTAACTGAGATATCCTACACTACAGTTTGATCTTTTTGAAAAAAGTGGTTGTATCTTGAGTCAAGACTTTTGTCACAAACATCAGTGGGAACTTAAGCAGATAAATAGGCACTTAAAAAATGCATTTGGTGTTTTATCCATTACAGTCATGGTATAATTTGCATATTGTGAACTTATTATTTAAAAAAGACCTCAAACTTTAAACAACCATAAGGTTAGACTATTTTATTCCAGAGAAAATCCTTACTGGTCACTCTTGTATGGAGCTATGAAATGAAAATTTTCTAAAAGAACCAAACCTGTAGAATCTTTTGTTCACATCTAATTAGAACATTTTAACATTACTAACAGTAACATTTAATGTTACTAACATTTAACATTAGCTAAGCATAATGTCCTGTATAAGATCAAGGATTTCATTCCCCCACCAAGATAACCACTGTTCAGATCCATTACAAATGTTTGCCCTAATTTTTTGAACTCCATGTTCTTGACAAAAAGGGAGTATCAAAATGCCAGGAATAGGCTTTGAAGAATTACTAGCTGTTAAACTATTACCACTCCAAGAAAAATGTAATATATTTTCTGGATGGTTCTGGAAACAAAGATTACTTGAACATTTTTTCTACTGTTTCTCTCTAATCTTTACTAGAGAGATTATCTCTAGAAAACCAAATATTAATTTTATTTGTCTAGCCCCTCAGGTCTGTCACAGCTGCAGATTACAGCCCAAATTCAGAGAGGTACTTTCTCCCTCGCTGCCTAATGGGACCATGCCAGCATTTTTGCCTCACTGTGCTTTTGGCAGAAGTTATGATCACACAAACAGAACACATACCACAGTGAAGGAAAATACATGAATCATATTCTGAGCAACCAGAAACACTCTGCATTTCAATGCCATCCTCTGCATTTCAATGTACTGCTGTTGTGAGAAGGGTATTAAAGCACTTCTTGTGTTTCATTTGAAATAAAATAATCTCTGTTATTTATGTTGTCATCAGCTGAGTGTGCTGAAACACAGTCTTTGAACAGCTGCTGTGGAGTGCCTGGGTGTTGGAGTTGGTCAGCCAGACCTCTGCAGCGAGTCTGCTTTTATTGCTTGGTACCCATTTTCACATTAAGCACTCGGGCCTTCAAGGCACAGCTGCTGGGGACTTTCCAGTAGTGTTCTCCAACTACATGTTATATGAATGACCTTTAAATATGATTGTGCATTACAAACTGCAACACTCACTATTCACATGTGAAGTCAGCATGCTTCCCCTCAGGAAAACGCTGCCTAATGAACCATTAACAGCATTGCCTCTTACAAGCTGCTGGAACATTCTCTCCATACTGATTTGACATAGAGAAAGATTCTTTAAGTTACTTGTATTTTTATGTAATATTAAAAATACATATATTTATATATGTATATATATAGGAGATTTTTCCTATTTTCTGTGTTTTACATGTATTTCCTTATGTAACGTAGTGGGAAAGACTAAACTTTGTCTCATCTGACCCATTTTGATTTCCAAGGTGCTAACAGTGTAAACATAAAATGCCATGATTTGAACAGATGAGAAATTATTATTACCATACCCAGACAGACACTTTGCCACATGACATCCTTGTCTCTAAATCAGAGAGACACGGATGTGATGGATGAAGCACTCGCTGGGTAAGGATGGTTGGTTGCAGAGTTGCAGTCAATGGCTCAGTGTCCAAGTGGAGACCAGTGGGAGTGATGTTCCTCAGGGGTTGCTATTAGCATTGTTGGCAGTGACATGGGCAGTGGGACCGGCTGCACCCTCAGCAGGTTTGCTGATGGCACCAAGCTACGTAGAGCAGTCAACACACTGGAGGGAAGGGATGTTATCCAGAGGGATAGGAGAGGTGGGTCTGTGCAAGCCTCATGGTGTTCGTGGTCCTGCCCTTGGGTCGGGGCAATCCCAAGCACAAACACAGACTGGGTGGAGAACGGATTGAGAGGCCTGAGGAGAGGGACTTTGTACTGGTAGACAAGAGGCTGAGCATGAGCCAGTGATGTGCACTTGAAGCCAAAAAAGCCAACTGTATCCTAGGCTGCATCAAAAGCAGCATGACCAGCAGGCTGAGGGAGGTGATTCTCATCCTCTACTCCACTTCTGTGAGACCTCTGACCATTGCTTCCAGCTCTGGGACGCGAACATAAAAGGAACATGGACCTGCTGGAGCAAGTCCAGAGGAAGGCCAGAAAAAAGGATCAGAGGGCTGGAGCATCTCTCCTATGACAGCTGGCTGAGAGAACTGGAATTGTTCAGCCTGGAGAAGAGAAGGCTTTGGCAAGAACTTATAGTACTTAGCAGTACCTGAAGGGAGCCTACAAGGATCTGGCTGGAAAGGCACTTTTTTACAAGTGCACGTAGTGACAGGACAAGGTGGAGAATGTTTTAAACTGAGAGTAGTTTTATATGAGATGGGAAGGAATTTATACAGTACAGTAGAGGAGTCAGAAGTATATAATTCCTAACACATTGTGGAATGTTTATCACCTTGCAGGTGCTTTGAGGCATGGCTCACAGAGACAAGTATCAGTTTTAGTCTTAGAAAATCAGTGAACATGTCTCAGAAATACGTGTCAGTTCAGCACAAAAGCTGAGATTAACTACTTGAACCATTCATCTCAGATGTTAAAGCTTCCCTTTTCACAGTAGCTGTAAGGCAAAATATTTCAGTGTTAGCAACACCTCTTGCTCTCCAGAATTAGAGCTCCTTAGTTTCTCTAATTGTCTGAAAGTTTTCCTTCAACACCAAATAAAATCTGAAAAATGTGTCCACTTTGATGCTGTTTCAGGAATTCTAGAAACTGGCCAAGATCCATGTGATAGTCATTCCTCAGGCCATAATCACCATGTGCCTGAAACTGTAGGTCTTCAAAACTGTGAAAGAGACGAAGATTATCAATGCTTCCCTCCGTTTCTATATTCTCCACATGCTTGCATGAAATATGCTTCCAGTTGGGATATCTAATAACACGCCAGAACTCTTCACAGTTTTCTCGGAGTCCCTCCACACAGATGACACCAGGTTTACCAGTTAGGCAGAAGCCAGTCAGATTTAATTTCTTTGCACAGTCAAAAATCTTTTTCCTCAGTTCTTGCCTGTAGATGTGATGGCTGTAGATCCACATGCGATGCAGCGTTTCCTTAACCCTGACTTCTTTAGAAGCACACTCAGACGAGGCCTTACTGTTTTCCAAGAAAGGCAGGCTGTTGTCCTTCACCCACTGCACAGCCTCACACACACACAGATCTCCTGAATCCAGAGAGCTGATGTGAGACTCCAGACCAGTATTGAGCTGCAACTGTTGCTGTCTGTGCAGAGCATCTGATCTGGCAAAGAGCTGAGGAGCCACCTGAGGGTACATATGAGGAAGGAGAACCTGCAATTCCACCTTTAAAACAGAACACACACAGAGCAAATTAATTCTGCAGCTACTGAAGACACTCTAGATTCTTCTTCCCTGTCAGTGGCAGATTATGAGGAGATGTAATTAAGATTGCAGCATCCTACTGACTGGAATTATTTCCACTTCCCTTTTGTCCCAATAACCCGTTCTTTTGTCTGTTCCTTTTCTTTTGTTGCATCATACTTCCCATGTTATCCAGGCAGCTATTTTGCTTTTCACAGAACTAATGCTATGGCCTGGGAGAAGGTACACAGTTATCCTCAAGAATCTCACCCCTTACCAAATGCACATAACTAATGAACTCAGCCCAGCTGCTGGGAAAAAAGGCCAAGAGTTACATGAAATGGTGTTTGTGATTGCACCTACTATATAGAGACACAGTGGCAGGAGTGTTGGAAATACTTGATCTTTAATGTCGCTCCCAACCCAAAACATTCTATGATTCTGTGCATTAACATTATTTTAAGCAAGTATTAAGCAAGTCCTCCATAAAGAGGAATCAGCATTATAGGGGATGAAAAAATATATGTATGTTTCAGGTCAGGGAGACCTCTAGATTATCTTTTCTGATCTCTTATGAACATTGGACTGTTGAATTTCTCTTGATTATTCCCACAGTGCCTTCAAATGGAGCACCACAGTTCTTTGGCAGCTGAACCCTGTTTCTAGTCCAAGAGCAGGAAAGGATTTATGTGTCCTCATTGCTTCAAGCTCCTGTAGACTACTAGGGGGTACTCACTACACTGTGCAATCATATGATCAGTCCTGCAGAGAGAAGTGAATCATGAAATGACTAATTATCTTTCCAAGATCCTTGACAAACTGCCATGGAAAAAGCCCACTATTCCTACACAAGCCCTCCCTACATGGTTCCTAAAATTTCTCTCTGAAGGTTGGTGAAAGGGTACATTTTAGAAAAATACCTTAGCTTGTACCTAAAATTACAAAAAAACCACCATGAGGCCATCTCATTACCCAGTAAATTGTTCTAATGTTTGTTTACCTTCATTCCATGGAAAATGGCTTTTAGGCTGAGTTTGTTTGTTCTCAGTTTCTAGTCACTGCATTAGCGTGCACTCAGACCTGTGTTCTCTGTGCAAGTATTTACATCAATTAGTTAAATCCCTTTCTTCAGTCAGTTAAACTGTTATAACTTCTTATACTGCAAGTTTGGTTTCTCTGCTCATAGGCTGGTTTTGTTTCTGTGTTCTTTTGACTCCTTCTAATTGCATTCTGCCATTTGGGGCTATTTTTACATTATTATATTTCTAATGCAGATGTTAGGAGCAGCCAAGATTTTCTGTTACTCTTGATTTTTCAAACAGCAAACAAACATGTGGTGGCTTTTTTACCCCCTTTTTTTTCGGGGAGAGTTTTCAAGTGTGTGCAGGAGTAAAGACACCAGCACCCATGAACAAGTCTCCTTGGCAGCTCTCACCTTCGCCTCCCCTACGTCTAGAGCGATTCGATATTCCAGCTGCGGGGGCAGGGCTCCGTCAGCATTCCTCAGGTAGCGCTGGATGCTGGGCACGGCATCCGCATCCAGACTGAATTCTCCTCTTTTGGGAAACATCGAAAGGAGCATTTCCACTTCCAGCAGCTGGAGCTCCAGGCATTCTTTTACCGTGGCAGCCATCGCACTGCCCTCCACGCACGCCTGGAACGAGAGGGCTGGAGTCAAACCCTGGGGTTTAGCTCATGCTGAGCATGTTCAGCACCATAAGGAAGCCCCACGATTCTTTAAGGGCAGAATTTGGTTAACCACGGCTGGACCAAGCGCTCAGCAGCCGGGCCCTCACAGCCCCGCAGCGGGCAGGGGTGGTCGGGCGGAGCCCTGCGGGCTCCCTGCCGGGCTCAGCGATGCGAAGGAGCACGGAATGGAGTCCCGCGTGGATGTGCGTGGGCAGTGACACATCATTTGTGTTATTTATCAGCAGATACACCCGGTGTTGTCTGGGTGTCGTGGCTCAACCCCAGCCGGCAGCCAAGCCCCACACAGCCGCTCCCCCACCCGCAGGACCGGGAGGAGAATCGGAAGGGTAAAGGCAGGAAACTCACTGTTTGAGATAAAGACAGTACCATAGGGAAAGCAAAGGCTGCTCACACAAGTAAAGCAAGGAATGAATTCACAGCTTCCCGTGGGCAGGTGGGTGTTCAGCCATCCCCAGGAGAGCAGGGCCCCATCACACCTCACGGTGATTTGGGAACACAAACGCCATCACTGCAAACATTCCCCCATTCCTCCTTCTTCCCCAGCTTTATGCACTGAGCATGATGTTCCATGGTCTGGAATGTCCCTTTGGTCAGCTGGGGTCGCCTGTCCTGGCTGTGTCTCCCCCCAGGTTCCCCCAGCCCCCCACCAGCCTGGCAGTACGAGAAGCAGAAAAGGCCTTGGCTCTGTGTAAGCCCTGCCCAGCAATAACAGAAACATCTCCACATTATCAACCCTGTGTTCAGCACAAATCCAAAACACAGCCCCGTACCAGCCACTGGAAGAAAATTAACCCCGCCCCAGCCAAAAGCAGCGCGCTGTGGGGACAGCTGTGTAATCCAGGCGCGGTGTCGGT